TACAACCTTTGGAATACTGGCCCAATGCTCTGCCAACTGAGCTATACAGTCGGGGCAGTTCGAGTATGCGATATTTTGGAACTGAGTATAGTTCCTTCGATATCAGTGTAATCTAATAACCATGATATTTGTGAATATGATGCTTGAGTGATGTTACTCTGAGTGCATATCCACACCGGGCAAGCTTGAAAAATATGCCAAGCCACATTGGGATTCAAACCGACCTGACCGCATAGCTCAGTTGACAGAGCATTGGCATTTGGGCTAGTATTCCAAAGGTCGTAGGTTCAAATCCCATTGTGGCCAGGCATATTTTTCAAGCCTGCCCGGTGTGGATATACACTCAGAGTAACATCACACAAGCATCTCATTTCATCAAGTTCCTCCAGATATTCATACACTTCCTGTAAAAGAGCCAATTCCAAGTATTTAATCATTTCTGGTCACTTCCTTTCTATTTATGATTGGTTAGTTGCACAAACAACAAAGGTGATTGGTGCATTCAAACCATTTAACAGGAAGTTTACAATTATACTAGGAAGTGTATGAATATCTTGAGGAACTTAATCAAATGAACTGGTTAGCCCGAGGTAATGTATTGAATCAATATTTGAGGAACACTTCAATTGGAACGACAGTGAAGAATTATTAAAAAAAATATTTTATTCAAAAAAGGATTTTCCAAGATAATTGTATAATTACATTTAGTAATAAGAATAAATAATATATTCAATTTCAAATCACAACAAAATTTATTCTTTATTTTTAAACACATACAACACCAATTTAATTAAATAAACTGCTCAACCAATTCTATGCATGTCAATCCCTACTTGATGGTTAGCACCTACAGTAATTATGCTAGCCTAATTTGTACACTAACACAAATAGTCAAAATAAATGTAAATGTAGCAATCTTGGCTTAGCTAAACAGACCAAAATGTGTACAAATAACTTAAAGTTGTTAGCAGAAAAATTAAGGAATAAATTTAACCCATTGAGTGGCGAAGCACCCTATTTTAGTATTTTACTCTGTCTAACGCAAGACAACTTTACTCGTCAAGGGGAGAGCGCTGGCGCTTAATGGGTTAATTACCCCTCATGTACAGTATGACCATTAATTGTACTGATATATAATAAACTGTAAAGATCACAACCAAGTTGACCAAAGCAATCATTAAAGATTGTTGGTACAGCATATGGCTTTAACACTGGTCTCTGGCTGTAATCCTCCTCAAAGATATCAGCACTAAAATGCTTTGAACACAAATGACTATTTTTCATAGGAACAAACTTCACTGGCATAAGTTTGCTTATATTCTTCACCCATATGCTGTGCAATTCAGGGAATCTCTTCTCATCTGGAAAGCTTTGAAGTAAATGAACAATTGTTTTTAGTGTCTAGTTAATACACTGTTCAATATGATACCTATAACTTACAATATAAACAATGCCACACTAGACAACACATGGTTTAGTCCACAATAAAGACAATACAATGAGTGAAAGGCTTTGTACTTTATCACATTGTTAAAATTCTCATTTGAAATTTTTTAACATAGCATTATCTGTTAGGATATCGATAGGATTTCATCACTGCATCACATCCATCAACTTGCATGAAAATAAATACTTGCTCGACAACAGCTCCACAAGCTTGTCAGTATTTTAAAATTTTGTTCTGCTTTTGCACTGTAGTACACTAACATAAATTGTATTGTATGTTGCTTGCCAATAAATTTCATGAATTCACAATTTTACGCATTCAATACAGCAAATACAGCATGCGTTAAATTATTACAAAAAAGAGATTATACGAGCCTTAATACGCATGTGAGGACAGGTCCTTTCTTTCAGTAGATTTTTGGCAACCAGGAATTGAACAAAAAGTTGGCATGGTTGCAAATGTCTCGTTTCAATATAGAAATTTCCGACCGAAATTTTGAATTTACTATTTTACCCTTCAATTCTGTTTTAAGCAAATTGAAAGGGGGGTGTGAATAACTTTTTTCTTCACGTTAGTATTTTAGGTCAGTGGTGTTCACCATAAATTTAGGTCGATTGTGACGTCAAAATGACGTAAATTTGGCCAAAATCCGCCATGTTTTTGGCCACACATTTTTGACTGACGAGGTATTGGAGCACGATCTCCAGATATATTAAGTATAGCTCAGTGGGAAGACCCTGGTAAAATACGATGAAATCTCCAAGATTCTTGGAGATTTATCGCATGCGCAGTAACGACAACGTTATGTTGCTGACTACAATTAGCGCTGGCGCTTACGATTTTCTTGCTTAAAAATATACATGTTTTGTTGAGTGTTTATGTATTTATTCTCAAAGTTTTAACAACTTTTACGAAAAATACTTCAGATATAAGCTGTGAACACACATGTACACAAAACTATGCAACATTCATCATCATATTGTATCAATTTGTCGGAGTATGGCGCTCATATTTGTGACATTGTTTTGTTCGCTTTGGCAACCCTCGTATATATCAGATGCTGTTCGGCCTCAAATGCGACTGAATAAACACTGATAGTGTTGCAATACAATACAATACAATACAATACAATTTTATTCAGTACCGGTAGTAATACATACATAAATATAAAATAAAGATAAAGTTACGAAAAGAAGGTACTAGCTAACTGTAATAACCAAAAGGCTAATCGAGACAGTCAGCGAATTTGATTAGTAACAAAATATATTTTAGTGGGTAAACTGAATAAATAAAACACATGCAATAAAGATTTCAAAATGGACAATTTTGATTTCAAAATGGACAATTTTTTCTGGAATATGAAACGATATTGAATGATTGTTCCGTATATCAAGGTACGTACTGTACATTTATACTGGATTTATTTTCACACGAGTTTCAACTGAACTATTTCAGCTTTATGAACAATGAGATCACATCACTAACATACAGAAAGACTCCATATTTTCTCATCAAATCTGATTATCGTTAAAGTAACAGTAGAAATGCTTCAAAATTTATTCTGTATGTAAAGCAGGCCACCATGTTTCATTTTCCTTGGTAGTCACCACTCACCATTCCAAATAGGCCATTCCATTTAATAGCCCCCCCCCCTATTGTCTATTGAGGTCTGGATATCCTATATGAGGATTTTATAGAGGGGTTTTTTACCTTAAATATTTGTGGAGGGTAGCTTAAGAGATTTCCTAAAAATTAGGTGTTTTAGTGATATCCAAAGGGGCAGGAACAATTTCCTAAAGGGGTAGAAAGACATCCATAGGGGTTCCAAAATTGCATCCAATGGGGTTCCAAAATTATTAAAAGGTATTATGAAGAGACCCCTCAATAGGGTGGGTGGGGGGCTATATTAGATGGAATGGCCCAGTGTGCTGCAACAACTTTTAAAATTTGTATATATGTTTTTAAGGCACAATATGTGATGGAGTTTGATGATGATCAACTGAATGAACAACTTATCTGATATACTCCTACTTCCAATATTTTGTTGTATATTATCACCAGCTTGACACATGTCAGTTGGATCACTTTGAATGAACATTGGAGTGGCACAATAAAGTGTCTGTATTAGGGAGGAGTCTATAAGGACTGAAGTAATAAGCACACTTTTGGATATTAATCTGAATCATAGCAACTACATATACTGTAGGTTTCAAATTAGTTTGAACAATGAACAACTGAAAATAGAAATTTATTTAATTGGAAACACTTAAAGGAATTACAACATATTATATGATAGTCATATGTACATGATTATAGGTATATTCATTAGTTTTACTAGCTGATATTTATGACCATCCTGGGTGACAACATTTATTTTTCCCAAGAGATTTTACTTGCATGATAGTAATAAGTTTAATAGTAACAGAGAAGTGTGATGGATATGTGCAAGTAATTATCATTAGAAATACAAAGATTAAACTGTAATTTTGATCATTGTAAATATTATTAAAGAAACAAAATACAAAAGTCACACAAGGCTACTTAACATAATACAGTCATAATACCAGACTGGTTAAAGAACTACTGAATAGAGGGATCATGAAAATCTTCTAAGATTACTACCATAGCTCTGTAACAGGAAAAGGTATAGTGAGTTAAGGTTTCTTCACCTTGATGAACAAAATTATATAGCATTAGAAAACTATAATGCCATCAACTAATTCCCATTTAAAAATTTTCATGTTGGTCACTGTGAAATATAATCTTGAGGCCATCTTAATGACTGTTTACTATCTGATTGATGACATGATGATATATATTTCCATGGAATTCAAGTTGTTTTTTACCCCAAGTTCATGTAAAATATGGTTCACCTGTTAAAATAATAAAATGTTTATTAGTTGTTTTGTAACAGAACAGTACCTGCTTTAAAGAAAATATAGGAAAGAGAAAATTGAAATAACAGTTGTACACTGTATATGGAAAACAGAATAAAATCTTTCTAAGCATTCCTACTACGTACTGTTATCATAATTTGATTAACTGATGAGATAATATGAAGTTTTTCTATATGTTAAAAACTGTGATTTCTGAAGAAGTCTTGCTGTATGTGTGAAATTGAGTTTATTAGAAAATGTGATTATAAATTCAGTATAAATGTACATTACATACCTTGATATACAGAACAATAAGTCAATATCATTTCATATTCCAGGCAACACTATCAGGCCTATCAGTGTTTATTCAGTCGCATTTGAGGCCGAACAGCATCTGATATATACGAGGGTTGCCAAAGCGAACAAAACAATGTCACAAATTTGAGCGCCATACTCCGACAAATTGATACAACATGATCATAAATGTTGCACAGTTTTGTGTACATGTGTGTTCACAGCTTATATCTGAAGAATTTTTCGTAAAAGTTGTTAAAACTTTGAGAATAAATCCATAAACAATCAACAAAACATGTATATTTTCAAGCAAGAAAATCGTAAGCGCCAGCGCTAATTGTAGTCAGCAACATAACGTTGTCGTTACTGCGCATGCGATAAATCTCCAAGAATCTTGGAGATTTCATCGTATTTTACCAGGGTCTTCCTCAGCTCACGCGCCACCACGAGGAAGACCCTGGCACAGAATTTTGTGACGAGGTTGAGTTGATAGTTGATACTTGATACAGTTGATTGTCTCATAAAAGTTGTACAAATTTTGCGTGATTTTTGCTGGATGTTACTTTAATTTTGGCAATTTATATCGAAGTGTGTGGTTTCTAGACTGTATAATAGCTACCAGTTACAAATGGACAACAACAAGGTGGACAAACAGTTGCAAGAAGCGCTCTTGGTTGAACAGCAAAAGGCGAAATTTCAAACTCAAGTTCACATGTTCACAGACACGTGTTGGGAGAAATGCATTGATAAACCAGGAAATAAGCTCGATTCAAGGACGGAATCATGTATTGTTAATTGTGTAGAAAGATTTATTGATACTTCGGTTTTTCTGGCAACACGTTTTGGACAAAAAGCTGGTATGTAGCAGGATATTGGGAAATATCGAACATGTGAGTCAGTGGATACAGGGACTGCATGTCTGATCAAGATCCGGATCGATGTTACATTTATTGACGTTTCATTACAAATGTTTTACCAAAAGTAACATAAATATTCAACAATATTACCAAAAGTAACATAAATATTCAACAATATGAAAATTAAAGTAAACTTGTGTAATATTTCTGTGGCAAATATGTGAGCCTAGGCAAAAAAAAATATGTGGGTTTCCTATTTCTTCTTGTAAAAACTTAGGTAGGGTAGGTCGGTTTTAATTTTTTTTTTAAAACTTTTTTAAAAATTTTCCTAACAATGGGTCGTTCCAGAAAAGATCCACACTCCCCCCAGGGAGGAAATTTCTGCCGTCTGGAGGGGGAGGGGAGAAAAAATTGTTTCTGATAATAGTAAATGTATTAGGACTTCCGAAGGGGGTAGGGGGATTAACTTCCAATTTCCTCTGTGGGTGTGGTATGGATGTTTTCTGGAATGCCCAATCGGATGCCATGTTTGTTTAGTCATAGCCTGCATGGCAGGCGGTATTTCTACGGGCAGCGAAAATTAGGGAAGCAAAGGAAATACCGTCTGCCGCAAAACTAGGGGTTTTTGAATTACCCGTCCGCTGGTGAACGGGAAAAACGGATTGGTTAGTATTTTTATGTAGTTGTCAATCAACGGCTAAATTCGGTTAAATGTTAATCATTAACCAAATGTTTTGACGTTTTGAAACTCTGCGTTTTAAAATTAGTTCACGTCAAGTCAGACCAGAAAATGGAATAACATAATAAAAGAAGCAAATTAAAAGATACAAGCTGAAAAATAACACTCTAAATAGTGTTATTGATAGAGATTCGAACAAGAATACTTAACAAAGAAGATACGTCCGAAGGGGCCGAAGTTATGATCGGCGAAAGGTATGGGCTAGTCTATATTTTCGTTCAGACAATTACATGCGTATTAATTTGATAATATACTATCTCGCTTGACTTTCAAAGGCCATAAATCGCAATAATGTTGACATTTTACTAAAACTATCTATAGAAATTAGGAGATATTTCTTCACTGAATCGAACAGTGGGATTTCCATATAGGCCTATCAGTCATGTTCTGAACCAAAGATACTTGATAGATATTAATATATACGAACCTCCAAAGTATAAACAAGGGGCCGGTTGATGCAGTAATTATCAAATAACTGTTAAACTCTTATATACCCGTTGAATATGTATAGTTGTAAACAAATAAAAACTATCGTTCTATAAGGTTCAATACTTTCAGTTTGGTTGTTGACTGATGATGAATCTATAGTAGGCCTATAGACTTGCATGCTTTGTATTTTGAGCTTATTAAACCACCGTTTTAAGGCAGCTAAACGGGCTTGGTTTATATTAACACATAAAATAAATTCCTTGATTCTCATCACTAGACACAGTCTACACTTTGAAATGTCGAAGACAGTGGGAGATTTATTTTTTATATTTATATAATTTATATATCAATAGTTCGTATCTCCACAAACAATGACAGAATGACTGAGTGAGTTTCTTTAAAATACAATGAAATTTCACTCAAAATTCTGTTTGTTTCAAATTGGAAGTTTAAAATGGCAATAAAAACTCTATATAAAATATGAAAAAATTAACTGTCTTGAATTATTTTGTCGGGCGGTACATTTATATTGTGTAACTAAAAATAAAACGTTTTCACGAGGATTTTAAAATTCAGTCGGGCGGTGATGAGAATCAAGGAATTTATTTTATGTTGGGCAGTTGGGACTTGGGAGCAGCTTGGGAGTGGCTAATTTCGAATATTTACTTAATTAATGCATCTATAAATAGCGTTGATGCTTCAGGGGCGGTAGTTCATTTACACCCAGTTTTGCGGCAGGCGGTATTTCCTACGTACCGCCTGCCATGCAGGCTATCATCAGCCGAAATATAACATTTTAGAACTGAAAATACGCGGAGTAATTATAACTAGCGAATACTTATGATTTATATGTGGTTTTCAGGTATAAACTATTATAAACTGATTGTTGAGAAAGATCAGGATTCCATTTTTACGACCATATGGAAACCAGGCTTAAGTTTGTTTGCGCGTTAGTTGCCATGGCAACGGATATGAAACATTTCAAATTATATAATAACCTAGCCCGCGTGCAGGCCCAAGGGAACTGATACTATCAGTAACAATAACCTTAAGAATTCCTGCGATTTCATTGGTCAAGAGCCACGATCTATTGGAGGACAGACGCACGGAAATAAGGGTGCAGAAATTACTCACAAAAGCTAGCAACTCGGCAAATCTCAATACATTCGGATGCGACTTTCAAATTCAATCCGATCTTCGAAAACAAATACTATTTCAGTCATTTGACCCTGTCGATGTCACGTTTTCCAGCTGGTTTCTTCACTTCGTGCAACAAAGGCAATGTTTAAGTGCTTTTCAATCACCATAGTCGCTCAGAACAAAATAATTGCCTCTTTATCACACGTTTTTATTTAAAGTTTGTTCGTTCACTGGTTTAAATAAATTATTACAAAGCCCAGTCGAATTGTAATCAAGACCCAACGTTTCGACACTCCAGTCTAGTGTCTTCATCAGGAGTGATCTAAAGGTGCAATCGTGGCTTCTTAAATACCTAAGGAATGACGTCACCTGCCAATGAGATACATGTATTCCTCTGGCAAATAGGCACCGTCATCCCTATTCAAAGCATGATTACTCATATTTATATGCCATGCTTCTAGGCAAAGTCTTAATTCGTTATTTGGGTAGATCATGAACGCGAGATCTTTGCAAAATTTCGACTTTTCAATTTTATTATATAAAACAAATAGATTACATTTAACCCTTGTCTGTTCAGTATACATAGTATGACGCCATATGTTGTAAGAAAAAAGTGACCACTCGCCTAGGCGGCCCGTGGACACCTTTTTGTTCTTACCACATATGACGTCATACTGAGTATCTATAATTGCTGCCGCAGCGAGCGAGCCTGAAGCGAGCGAGCAAGGCAGCAGATCCTAATTTTGTTTTGTGGGTCGAAATCAAAATTTTCTATTTGGCGCATTGCATGACGGTACCAGTGAATTTAACCGTGGTGCAGCGCGGTCAGGCATAAGGCAAACAGGCAATGTGATCATGTTTCATCTTTGGTCTTCTTTTATGGAAAGCCATAGCTGGCTTAAAGTGATCAAACGGCATTTTGTTGGGTGCTTTTAGCATTATACGGCGGTGCTTTTGGCATTATACACGGTGCTTTCGCCATTATACGCGGTGGTTCCAGTATTATACGCGGTGCTTTCATCATTTATATACGCGATGCTTTTGCAATTATACGCAGTGGTTCGAGCACTATATTCGGTGCTTTTGACATTATATACACGATGGCGCGATGCTAGCTTTCATTCAACATTATTTCCATATTCTTTCCATGACATGTATATGATTTAAATTAACGATTGCTTAAATTTGGTATGTGGTTGACAAATGCTTCGGCCTATGGTCTGCAAGGACAATGACATGCTTTTCTGTGTATATACATGTAAATGAATATAACGCAGCGAATGTGCCAAACAGTATAAACGCGGCTGAAATACGATATTAAAATCTTGAATGTGCCGTATGATTTAATTATGTTTTAGGATTTACAAATGCTTTGTCATTTGTATTTATACTTGTACTGCATCACAAGGCAGTCCGTAAATGAAAAGATTCCACATGTGAGATTGTCTTGTATATATTTTTGCTTTCTTTGATAAACATTGGTTAAACACGCAAATTTTAATTAGTGAGACCCAATATTAAATGTCACCTGCATGTCATTGTCATCATTGCCCTTTAACCCCTGGTCTAATTGGCCGCTTTTGAAAATGTTGATTGATGACGAACCGCAATGCAGTTAATTATGCAAACTTTGTGTTTTGAAAACGGGTTAGGATAAAACGCGGATACGGACGGACGGATGAATGACGGACGGATGGCGACGGACGGACCGGACGGATGACATATATATGTCATTATATAGTCTGCGCGCAGCCGCGCAGGGTAGTTAGTGGCTTACGTCTTCGCTGGTTTTTATACTTTAAAATAATTTTGTATACACCGAGAAATCAATATTCCGAGTATATAAATATATAAACTGGGATGTCACACTGATAGCTTGTTTACATTTCCTGGAGCATCAAATCTTATGTTTAACCTCGGTGGTTTAACCCATTAGCTGGCTATGCACCCTTCCCTTGTCCAGCGCCAGAAGATTTTACTCCTCAGTGGTATAGGGTACTGCCAGTAAATGGGTTAACAAACCTATCTGCCAATGGCTCTTGTTAATCCATCAGCACAGTAATGACCCCTACTTTAGTATTTACCCTGTCCAACGCCAGACGATTTTTAATACTCAGTCAGTGGTAGGGTACTGTCAATAAATGGGTTAACAAGGATAAAAATAATAGGATGTTTCTGAAGGACTCGTTTAACACCCTGTAGTTTGTCTTTTGCTGTCAAAGGCAGCATTACTGCCCTGTGGGTAACCTAGTTGAATATACAACGGTTAAATGTAATCTATTTGTTAAATATGAACATCACGAAAATTTAAATATGTGTCGAACCTAATATCTTCTGCACAAACGAAACTTAAGAATTCCAATCGGTGTATCAATTTTCCACTTTATATCCGCCAAAAATAGACCCAGTGGCACCTATAGTCAATATATTACACGTTAATTGCCATGGAAACTTACAAGGTGTTACAAAAATCAAGAAAATTTGAAACAAAAACTTTCAATATATGTACAACCCATAGATTTAAATGCACGAATAACCTAACATTCGATGTACAAAATGTAGAAATAATTTGACATTTCCAAAGACCTGATATTTTTAAATCTGCATCGAGTTACTTTAAGAGCGTTTCAGGTGTAGTTCACTATTAAGATAGTTGCACTTTTAAAGCCGTTATGTTTTTTGGCTGTATAGATAACGCTCACGTAGTCGTGAACGTACTTAGTCGTAACCCACTTTCAACATTTCTCGCGGGAGAAAACTGGAGTACTCGAAGAAAACCAACAACATTCGGCAGAGCGTTGACTGATTCTTTTCAAATGAATGTTTCGAGAATTGAACCTACAATTTCAGAGATAGAAGACGCTTGTTCTGACAACGAAGTACAGCTGGATTCAGCTGGTAACATTATCACAAATTGCCTGATCATAAACCTTTTAAATTTTGTGTTTGGCCAAGACAGTACTCAGTTGCCTGACAACACTTGCAAGTTGCAACATGGGTCGTGGCTTTAGTTTTCGACTCTTGTATCGAGTCGTTTTCTTTTCCTTCTGTCTGATTTTCGCCTGTTTTTATCACGGTGGTGGTTCAGAGTATGACAGGCGAGAAGATAAAACAGAATCGAACAAATTAAAAGATGGACTCAAAGGTAAACCCTTGAATGTTAACGTTTCTCTCGAACAAGACGAACGCGTCTCTAACTTGACAGAAAATGATAAACAAATTGATGGCCGCAAGGCGCGGAAGAAAACTTATCTTTCAAAGATGGCTAGAAAAGGTAAATTTTGAAAATGTGAGAATGTTAGCACTTCACAAGGAGTAATTGTCAACCATAACTTATTTTTAGGAACTGCGATGAAAACACTCCAAAGTGAAAGAATACAAAAGAGCCCAGTACTGCCTTTTTCAACTTCATCGCCGTCTTCTGAAGTAAACGTTCCACGAAAAAAATCGACAACCATCTCGCACTCAAATAAGACAAAATGGCAAAACGATAGCATTAAAAATATATCTTCATTGGAAAATCAATTTTTTCACCAGAATGACTCGAGCGAAACAGCGCAAAGAGAAACGTTCGCTTCACTCACAACTCAACATCTCCGGAACAGACGTGAAATTGATACGAAATCTGAGTATACCCAGGAAGATCTATTAATGTGCAAAGATTCAATCATCAATATAAAATACGATGATGAATACAAAGTTCGGACTGACTTTTCAATACTCTATAAAAACAAGGTGTACGATTATACGGAGTATCGAGTTCTGAATGAAACCACAAAGATTTGTAACTCCACTGATAACTACGTAAGAAATATTTGGAAAGTACGCAATAAATGGGTAAAGGCGAAAATGCATGAAAAAAGTTGCAATAAACCCATTAGTACTGTTAGGTTGCCCCGAAAGTATTACACTGTAAATAAGCAGTTCACTATCTATTACGCAGCTAGGAGTCAATATTTCACAAGAGATGACTATGGGATGAAAGACGGTCAACTTTCTATATGTGAAGAAAAGTTGAGACCAACATCAACAGAGTATAACGAGGAAGATCTGTTATTGTGCAACGATTCAATCATCAATATAAAATACGATGATGAATACAAAGTTCGGACTGACTTTTCAATACTCTATAAGAACAAGGTGTACGATTATACTGAGTAGTATCGAGTTCTGAATGAGAGCATAAAGATTTGTAACTCCACTGATAACTACGTAAGAAATATTTGGAAAGTACGCAATAAATGGGTGAAGGCGAAAATGCATAAAAAAAGTTGCAATAAACCCATTAGAACTGTTAGGTTGCCCCGAAAGTATTACACTGTAAATAAGCAGTTCACTATCTATTACGCAGCTAGGAGTCAATATTTCACAAGAGATGACTATGGAGTGAAAGACAGTAAACGGCCTTATATATGCAAAGAAAAGTCAGTCAGATCAAAAACAACAGACTATACCGAGGAAGATCTGTTATTGTGCAACGATTCAATCATCAATATAAAATACGATGATGAATACAAAGTTCGGACTGACTTTTCAATACTCTATAAGAACAAGATGTACGATTATACTGAGTATCGAGTTCTGAATGATGGCATAAAGATTTGTAACTCTACTGATAACTACGTAAGAAATATTTGGAAAGTACGCAATAAATGGGTGAAGGCGAAAATGCATGAAAAAAGTTGCAATAAACCCATTAGAACTGTTAGGTTGCCCCGAAAGTATTACACTGTAAATAAGCAGTTCACTGTCTATTACGCAGCTAGGAGTCAATATTTCACAAGAAATGGCTATGGGGTAAAATACGCTCAACATTATGTATGCGATGAAAAGTTGAGAACCACGTCATCAGAGTATACCCAGGAAGATCTACTAATGTGCAACGATTCAATCATCAATATAAAATACGATGATGAATACAAAGTTGGGACTTACTTTTCAATACTCTACAAGAACAAGGTGTACGATTATACCGAGTATCGAGTTCTGAATGAGAGCATAAAGATTTGTAACTCCACTGATAACTACGTAAGGAATATTTGGAAACTACGCAATAAATGGGTAAAGGCAAGAATGCATTATAAAAGTTGCAATAAACCCATCAGAACCTATTCGTTTTCCCGAAAGTATTACACTGTGAATAAGCAGTTCACTGTCTATCTCGCAGCTACGAGTCAATATTTCACAAGAAATGACTATGGGGTAAAATACGCTCAACATTATGTATGCGATGAAAAGTTGAGAACCACGTCAACAGAGTATACCAAGGAAGATCTATTAATGTGCAACAATTCAATCATCAATATAAAATACGATGATGAATACAAAGTTAGAACTGACTTTTCAATACTCTATAAGAACAAGGTGTACAATTCTACTGAGTATCGAGTTCTGAATGATAGCATAAAGATTTGTAACTCCACTGGAAACTACGTAAGGAATATTTGGAAACTGCGTAATTACTGGGTAAAGGCGAGAATGCACGAAAAAAGTTGCAATAAACCCATTATATACATTGAGTTCGACCGATGGGAGTACACTGTGCTTAAGGATTTTAGAGTTCGCATTTTTGCAACAAAGCAGCTGATAACAAAGTACGATTATGGTGTGTGTGAAGGTAAACTTGAAACATGTGTGACCGAATGCGGCAAATTTACGTTTACTATAAAGTATGAAAATGAATACAGAGTATGGAACAACTTCTCAATGATGTACCAAGGTCGAATGTATTCTTATGATGAGTACAGAATAACGGATGATGGTCTACAAGTTTGTAATTCTTCTGACCGTCTCATTAAAGAAAAATGGCGGAATTTCATTGTTTCGGAAAAGATAACGATAGCTTTCAAACATTGTAATGTATCTGTGGATGGTTTTTACTCCGAAAATTACACATTACATACAAACTTTACTGTTTTCTTCAAACCTACCAATCAAACTTTTACAAGGCAAGATTACGGAGTGATTTTGGGGTATTTTGCAATTTGTTCAAGAAAGCTCATATTGTCCTGCAATGATGATTTGATCAAAGTAAAGTACGGTGAACAATACAACGTTGATAAAAATTTTTCGCTGGTTTACAACAAGAAGATATACGATTATCGCGAATATCGATTAAGCCACGACAGTCTTGAAATGTGTGGTTCCAATGATTCAAGAGTTCAGGCGATTTGGAGAACGCGAAATTCGTGGCAAAAGTCATTACCCGCATCCTGTTATCGTTCTTATAAATTAAATGCAAGATACTACGTTGTGACAAAGCAGTTTGCTGTGTATTCGGCAGATAACGGTCAATATTTCAAAAGAAATGACTATGCGGTGATAGACGGTAAACCTTATGCATGCGGCAAAGAAAATTTAATACCAATTTATGTAATGACAAACTTTAAGATTATTATAGCACCATTATGTGCTTTAGCGCTTTCTATTATTTCTTTGCTATTGTTGTTGATAGTTTACTGCATGCTTCCAGAACTGCGCACACTTCCTGGTTTGAATTTAATGAGTTTTAGCTTCGCCTTGCTGTTGTGGCAGACGTACCTTGTAGTATTTTTGTCACTGTATTCTCATGTAGGTAAACTGTTTGAGATACCGTGTGCTAGGCTGTTTGTAGCAAATAAGTTTATGACTTATAGCATAATTATGAATGCTGCTGTTAATATCTATCACTTAAGAAAAACCTTTTGTGGGAATACTCTAGTGAAATCTGATGAACTGAAGAAGTGGAACAGATTTTTGAAGTATAGTTTATTTATCTGGGGAGTTCCCATCATTATAACAATTGTTTACATTGTACTAGTAAAGGAAGATGTTCTAAGGTTTGATCAACCTACTGCGTCTGTGAAGAACGACATTCAATCGAGCTTAAGATTTTATCGACGCATTGCGAATGGAAAGACGAGGGCAAATAATATAGGGATTTATCACCGTATTGCCTCCTTGAAGGGAGATGTCCTGGAATCAGAGTCGAGGTTTAATCAAAGCACTGACACTGTACTTGAAGATACCCAGTCAAAGTTTAGTCAAAGCACTGTACTTGGGAAGCAAGATGCGACGGAAGATGACGCAAGGATTTATCAACCTATTGTATCTTTGAAGAAAGATGTTCAGTCAAGCTTAAAGTTTTATGAACGTATTGTATTTGCGAATGGAGATGGGAGGGAAGATGATGCAAG